AAAGGAGCAGTGATTGATTTTGTAAATAGAAAGGTTACTTTTGATCCTAGGCGTCAGTTAGTTGCACAAACTGATGTTACTGTACCTCCCAGGTCAGAGAAGTTAATTGTTGCAAAAATTAAAGGCACACCTCTGCCTGATTTCATTTTAGGTATTTCTACAGAGTCCCCTGTTTTGGCTTCTCATAGCTTATTAGCTGCGAAATCACTTTCTGAGGTTAGAAACGGGACAGTAGCACATGGTTTATGCAATTTAAGCCTATTACAATTAAGAAGAATTCTAAAGTAGGGAAATTTGTGTGCTTATCGGACAAAGATAAGGTGTTTATTGTTAATGAATCAAAGACGTCTGCGTCTGTGCAAAACACGCCCATCGAAGATGATGGCGCTGTAATGAATGAAATACTTTCACACATAGGTCGTGACCTAAACGATAAAGAGAGAGATCAGCTGGTCAATTTACTAGAAAATTACTCTAATGTTTTTGTAAACGGTGGAAAGTTAGGAAATTGCGATATTTTACAACATGAAATTAGCATGTCATGCGATCAAAAACCGATTAGACAACGACCGTATAAGATTGGTAATAAACAAAAACAAATATTAGAAAACATGATAGAGGATATGTTAAAACAAGATATTATAGAACCAAGTACTAGTCCTTGGGCAGCGCCATGTTTACTTGTTGCTAAGAAAAACAATACCGAGTATAGATTCGTGGTTGATTATAGAAAAATTAATTCTATAACAGAACAGGATGCCCATCCTCTTTTAACTACTGACGATGCATTAGAAAGCTTGGGGGCCACCCAACCCTCATACTTTAGTTGTTTGGACCTTCGTAGTGGATTTTATCAGACTCAGATCAGTCCTAAATCTCGCCCATATACAGCGTGGAGATGCCATTTAGGACTTTTTCAATTTAAACGTCTTCCCATGGGACTAAAAAATAGCCCTCAAATGTTTCAAAGATTAATGGAAACCGTATTACGAGGAATGACATTCAAATTTTGTTTGATCTATTTAGATGACATAATAGTGTTTTCAAAAACTTTTAATGAACATATAGAACACTTGAGAGACGTTTTTGTTAAACTACGAGATGCTGGACTTAAACTGCATCCCCAAAAATGTTCATTTGCACAAAGGGAGATAAATTATTTAGGACACAAAGTTAGCAACGAGGGTATTGCGCCAGATAAGTCAAAAGTCGACGCAATCACTAAGTATCCCGTTCCACGTAAACTTAAAGATCTACGTGCCTTTTTAGGTTTATCAGGATATTATAGGAAATTTGTTCAAAATTATGCAAAGATTGCAGCTCCGCTTTATGCACTGACTAGGAAAAACTGTGATTTTGTATGGTCAAAAGAATGTGACAGTGCATTTGAACACTTAAAATCCGCATTGACGTCACCACCGATTTTGGCGTATCCAGACTATGATAGACCTTTTCGTGTTTACACTGATGCTAGCTCTTTTGCGTTAGGTGCCGTTCTCTGTCAAGAACAAAGTGGTCAAGAGAGAGTAATTTGCTATGCTGGTCGTGCATTGAGTAAACAGGAACAAAACTATGGAATTACCGAACTGGAATGTCTAGCTCTAGTTTTTGCTATAAAGAAATTTGACTGTTATCTCCGATTTACAAGTTTTACGGCTTACGTGGATCATGCCGCTCTGAAATGGCTACTTTCGCTTAAAGAACCAACAGGCAAATTTGCTCGATGGGTAGCACTCATACAATCATATAACTTTGAAATCGTGTATAGACCTGGATCTTCACATGGCAACGCTGATGGAGTAAGCAGGCGTACATATGTTGATTCACCGGATGATGACCTCGTCGACAACGAAAGTCTTTTGAATATATTACCATCATATCAAATACACGAGACTCAACAATTAAATACAAAAGAATCATCAAATCCGATATTTTCACCACCTGTTCGTAAAATTGCCTGTCAATCAGCGAAACAGTGCAGAGCCATTCATGCTAATGCTGATAATTTATTCTCAACGACTGAAATAAAATCTGAACAACGTGCAGATACCAACTATAAATATATCATAGACTACTTAGAGACCGGTAGATTACCTAAAGATAAGGACAAGCACAGAAAAGTATTAGTGCTGCAGCCATTTTATTTCTTACATGATGACATTTTATATCACGTTGATAAACGATCAAAACGTGGACAAAGAGACTTAAATGCAAATATTCAGTTAGCAATTCCACGAAAAATGGTTCCAACAATTTTAACAGAAACCCACAATAGTTTATTTTCTGGTCACTTAGGAATAAGTAGAACTATCCGTAGGACTCAACGTCTTTATTTTTGGCCATTAATGAATAGCGACATTGAAAACTGGATAAAGTCGTGTGAACTTTGTTCGGAACGTAAACAACCTCCAAATCCTGTTCGAGCTCAGCTATCTAGCATGCCTATAGCATCAATGCCTTTTGAAAGAGTCAGTACAGACATTATGGGACCGTTACCCGTTAGTGGACCGTCCAAATATCAATATGTGCTTGTATTTATTTGCTATTTTACAAAGTACGTTGAATTTATACCTTTATCAGATATAAGAGCATCAACAGTAGCTAAAGCGTTTATAGAGAATGTACTGTGTCGTCATGGTTCACCAAGTTTTTTACACTCCGACAGAGGATCCAATTATTTATCGAACATTGTTAAAGAAACTTGCAAACTATTTGAAATTACAAAAACTCATACGACGAGTTACCACCCACAGTGCAATGGTCAAAGTGAAAGAATGATGCGATCCGTAAAAGACATGTTATCAAAATATTTAGATGATAATAAGAACTGGCATAACTTTCTACCTTTTATTCAATTCGCATATAACACAGCGCCGTCTGTGGATACAACAGACTATTCGCCATTCTTCTTAGTGTACGGCCGACATCCGAAAAATCCGATCGATTCTAACTTACCAAACTTAGATGTCAACAAAACGACTCAGGAATACGTTATCACCTTACTTGAAGAACTTGAAATAGCTAGGAAAATTGCGAAAGAATTAATTGAAATCCGTAAAGCTGAGATGTTAAAAAAGGCAAATAAAAACAGAGATAACCCTAATTTCAATGTAGGTGACATTGTATATTTATACAAACCTGTTCTTGTTGCAGGTATTGGACGAAAATTGAATAGACCTTGGATTGGTCCGTATTATATTTCGCAAAAACTTTCCGAAATACACGTTAAGTTGAGACGAAAATCTGACGGGAAACTACTGAAGAATAGAGTTCATATAAATAGACTTAAACGTGGTTACGTATGGACGAATGAACCTTACGATATTACACCACCATTGAACGAAGATGCCGTGGAACCTGCCATAATTTCTGTTGACGAAACACCAGCAGACTCTATTTCTGAGGAAGTCCAGCCGAATCTTTACCAATCACAGGACAATGCTACACAAAATAACAATAGCGACAATACTGTATTTTCCGTCGAAAAAATATTACGAAAGAAGAGGATCAAGGGAAAATGGAAATACCGTGTGAAATGGGTTGGTTTCGATTCAAAGGACAATTCGTGGGTAGACTTTGAAGATTTGAATTTAGAATGTCAAAATTACGTTACAGACATGCACAATAAGATTCCATCTGTCAGACGCTAAATTCCGTAAAATGTATATATTTTTTTCTTGTTTGTTTCATTTTATATAGCTTGTATTTTTTTTAGTTTTATTTTGATCATAATTATATTTTTAACACATATTTCTGATAAAAAAAGCTCCTATATCAATTTACTGTTTTTCCTATAGAGAACATGTTTACAGAGGTCAAAACGAGAGTTCAATGATTGAACTATTTTTAGTAGTGCGCACGTGTTGATAATAAAATGTTATACTGTATAGAAGTTGTGAAGGAATTTTATTGAGAATTAATTAGTCAAGTAAATCGGCTGATGGGAAATTTATTGTAATGATATTAGGGACGCTTAATAATTTGCTAACCTGTTTATTGACTCTGGGCATTGCGGTTAAAGATAAGATTAAGGATAATTACCTTCCCAGATTGAGAGCCTGATAACAAATCTTAAAGAAAATGTGTATTTTTCATAATTTTGTCTTATTTTTGTGTAAATAATATTTTGCGCATTTCGTTTATTTTAAATAATTTTTTGTACAACAACATCAAAATTATTAATCTAGACATATTTCTTTTGCCCACATGTTATACGTTTATTGTGTTTAAACATAGGTGTACTGTGGTTTATGTATGTTCTTTGATTAATTTGATAAGTACTGTTTATTTTATTTTTTGCGCACGTAGATTATATAGCATTAGGATTTAGTTATAAAAATAATTAATTAAGGTTAATTTTGAAATTTCATTATATATAGTACATGTAGTTCAAGTGCATTCCTTCCTTGATTTGTAATTTCTATTTTTGTATTTTTCGTTCTATAATTAATTTCGTTACATAAATAGATAATTCGAGTGGAAACGAATTTTGTATAGAGGGGAGTGATGTGGCGAGTGCACTTTAGAGTAAAGTTGGTAAGATCTAAATAGGAGTGAGAAATGATTAAAAACACATGTTAAAGTTGAAAGGTTTAAAGTTGCGATCGTGGGAATTCAGAAAGAAATATTTATGCTAGGTCAGTTGATAATCTGAGCTGAAACTGTACACACGTATTAATAGATTATAAAGATATTTTACTATATTGAAATGGAATTAAAAATGTAACTTTACAATAGACTCAGTTATTCTTGGGACACATAAGATGTGATATAAAATCTTGGCAAACATCGTCGTCAACAACCCAACAATGTAAGAGAGAAATGTAAAATAGAAAAGTATACAGCTAGTTCCCCTGATACCTTGGTCCTATGCAACATAGAGGATTACAAGCGTATCAATACCGCATAGCTATTTTTTATTGAAAATCATATGTTATTGCTACATGTATGCAAACAATTTTTATTATCCATAACTTCGGATTTTATTGGTTCTTTTTCAGAAGGATTGAAATTCATCACTTAGAATAAAAGGAGAAAACACAGAAACAAGACCAAAATAAATTCAAAGACAAAAGTCAGATCAGTTATTATTTTCATCACTCAGTCAATGAATTGAAGTTCTATTAGATATCTAAAGATATTAAAACCACAATAATGACAATGTTCTGTGCTGATGGCCAAAAAGTGGACTATACATTACGATCACACAATGCTGGATGATAAGAAACTATTAATTTTTTGGGTGGAGGGATATCCAAAAAAAAATTAGATTTATGTAAAAAGCTACTAGTATGTTAAGCCTATTAATAGCGTTTTCATTGATTTCAAATGGGAAAAAATTGTGTTGTGTTTGTTTCAAAAAAGTATTCTAGAATTCATAAATAAACATATATTGATACTTACATTATCTGCTTTGTTGTTTAAAAGTTTAGTTTTGAACAGTTATAGAACAATATAATTGCATTAACATTTCCAAGGAAAAAAAGATATTCAACTAAAAAGATTCATCTTAAAACAATTTACTACCAAACAGAATTCATTGTAACATACACATTTATTTACTGTATATTTATAATTTGAATCCCATATGACTTTATTTTGTCCCATGGGATATTAAAAATCCCATGGGATAGTTATAGTCCCATGGGATTTTTTTTGTCCCATGGGACAACAAATATCCCATGGGACTATAATTATCCCATGGGACCCAAAAAAATCCTATGGGATTTAACCAAAATCCCATGGAATAATGGTCAATCCCATGGGATTTGCCTTATCCCATGGGATATTGAAAATCCCATGTTTTTCTAAATCAAATTACAAAATATATATAATAATAACAGCAGAAAAGCAATGAATTTATTGAGTCCCATGTTATTCCGCACATTTTGGTTATATACATGACACTGTAGGTCTAAGGAGAGGCGGCGGCGGATTTGCAAATGAGTGTTTTGCAAATTAAAAGTGTCCAGTGTTGATTGATCTAGAAATGGGAATATATCTTGATTGAAAACCGTTAGTCAATAAACAAGTTTTAGCATTTTTTAGTAATATTTTAACCCGTTCCCGGAAAATTTCCCCAAATTGATTTTTTTCTTTAACATACATCTAATGACTTTCATTTTTCATTTTTAAAAGCTTTTGTTTGGTCAAAGAAAATTATGGATCCTTCCTCATTTTTCATATCTATATATTTGAAAATAGCTTGCAGCATTCTATTAGAATCTAAAATATTCCTGCCCTGAACAAACACTTCTTGGTCTGTTTCTATAATTGATGGTAGAACAATTTTCAAACGTTCAGCCAGAATTTTTGAGCAAATTTCATAGTCTACATTCAATAATGTAATTGGTCGCCAGTCTTTAATATCCTCCCTCTCCCCACTTTTATATAATAAGGTTATCATTCCATGTCTCTGCGATTCGGAAAGCGTTTTATCAAAAAAAAAAATCTTTTACTATATGCGTAAGCTCATTCTGTATCAAAAACCAATACTCCTGCAGTTATGCCATCTTCCCCTGGTGATTTATCCCTTTTCATTAATTAAATTGCTTTGAAAATTTCATCTTCCGAAATTTCACTATCACATAAACACGGGTAGTAACCTTGTCATATCGACAAGCGTTTAGTACAGTGATTTTGTCATAGTTTGGTTAAGATGAACATGGTTGTGTTAAATTACTTCCGCGAACGATTGCCTCAGTTCTATTCAAATAAAAAGCAAATAAGATGTTTTAATTTGCATTGTTAGTCAAACGATCTACATTGGAATTGTTGTTTTCAAGAAACTAACGCAGAATAAGCAAACTATCAAAATTGCTATGGTTTGGTTAAGTTATGACATGGTTCGGTTAAGTGTCTAGAAATTCGTCATGGTTTTGATTAAGTTTGTCATGGTTTAGATCCAAATTAATATGTATGTGTTTCAGCTCAATATTAATAGTTTGTTTAAAAACGCTTGTAATTAAACGAAGTTACACAATTTACCAACTGACTAAGAAGAAAAAAAGCATTTAAAACCAAAATTAGATGCTGTAATTGGCAAAGCGTACATTAAACAATTTAACTGTTCGTGACTTGTCTTTGTATGCAAATCGTACTACTACGAGTGTCTCGTAAAAGAATTAGGAATAAATGAGCACTCATGTAATCCCACATACAAAAACATCATTTGACAAGGATGAGATGTTAGTGATTCACAAGTCCTTAATAGCTTCAATGAACATTACTTTGAGCAGCAAATCGGAGGACTTACCTTGTTTGTATTGGATACCTAAGCTTCACAAAATTCCATACAAACAGCCGTACACCAGCTCATCTGCATGTTCGACGACAGAATTGTCCATTAGATTGACAAAGATTCTTTCCGCAATGAAAAAGGGTTTTCACAAATACCGTGAAACTGTTTACTCGCGTAGTGGTATTAACCGTATATGGATTTAAAAAAAAACTCTTAAAGATCTTCTGAATAAATGTAAATCTCGATATTTCTCTGAAATTAGTTCTATCAAAACGTTTAATTTTTCAATCCTGTGTACCACTATTCCCTATGTGTAATTGAAACATCGTCTAAAAGAAATAATTTAAATCTACAATGCTTTTCAACATAAAAATTGTAGCGCACGCTATACATTTATTACTTTTGGATACCATACGGAAAAAAAATAAAGACGTTACGCGCGATGTTCGTACCTCATTGGAAAATCGGTGTAGTTGGCAAGATGCAAGTCCAAAATATATAATTTTGTGATATCATATTCATTGCTATTGTACGTATTTTAAAAAATAATGTTTTTTAAAATAAAAACGAAAAAAATAATCGTTGAAACTATGTTTTATGCTTCATGCGACAAGCTTCATTTTAAAAGAACGGCTATTTTTAGGCGTAACATATTCATTTATTGTAACCACTAAACTATGATTTTCGTCTAAACTATTTAATAATTTGAAAAACGGTTTTTTCCATTATTTAACAGAAAGGTTTCTCCAGTCTTTTATGCATTTTTTGTGACGTTATGATGACGTCATAGAAAAAAAGCGTTCCATACTACAAGGGCAAATCTGTCCCACGGGGAAAAAATTAGGATTACAGATTTGAGAATCAAAAAACATTTATCTAAAATGGAAAAGGGTTAGTATTTGTATTTACTACATCAATGTTTATTTGCTTAATTTTATGAATTTAAAGACAAATATCCTGAAAAATGATATATGGTAATTTATGAGCGATTTTTCAAAGGCTTACAAGGTTGTCGCACCACATTTTTTGACGTAAAAACAAACTCAACTCAAATTTACGTCAATTGTTTCCTTATCAGTGCTCTTATAATTAGAAATTTTTAATTGATGTTTATATCAGTGTTTCATGTTCTGTCCGACTCGGCTTCTGTCGAAATCCATTATTTATTTAGGTGGACGATACACATTTTATTACTAGATTTATGATGTCTGTGGTAGAGACGGCATTGTTTTCTTAACCGTCTCATGAACTTTGTGCACGTGTTAATTTTCAATCTTTGTCAGGCTTATTCAGTCAGTTGCACTAATTAGTTAGTAGCAGTAGCAGTGCAAATAATTCAAATCTACCAAAATTTTTTTGGATATTTCATAACTATTCTTACAATGCCAACATAACTATACGAATTACGACAGTATACTTATTGTGTTTATATTATACACCCGCAACATTTTCAACAAGAGGTATGAAGATTTAGAATTATACTCGATATTTGACACTTTAGATTGTGTCGAAACGGATCCGGATGGGAATAAATGCTTTATTTTGCAATTTGTGAGATTACTTTTACTTGGAAAAGAGTAGGCTGATTACTAGTGATGTGTTCTATTAGACGCTACGCAATTATTTGTTCATATAGAAATGGATGCTAAATTTCAAATGATAACAACTATGTATATAAATATATCTAGTATACAACACTAAACGTACGTCAGAATTTTTCACTAGTTTGTTATTTACGCTTGCGTTTCGGTCAATGCCGATATTTTCTGCTAATGACTCGGAGTGGATATTGGCTTACAGATAAGATTGCACTGGTATACCAACATTTTTAGACGTGTCTTGAGAATCTGGTACAAATTTATCTTCTAGACAGGTCAGTTTATTGTTATTTATTTTATTTTCTAGATTTTTCATTGTTTCTGAAAGCTATCGTTAAAATAGATACTTTTAAATGATTAATAATCGATAGACATGTCATCTCAATTCATATTTTGGTCATACAACAAATTATGCGTGCAGTTTGAAACTGACGAGCAGCAATTTAGCATGATCATTTGAATTATCTACACATTCACTCGATATAAGATCTACAGAAGAGAATTTATTGCGCCTAATTGAGTTCACGATGTTGTATATATATTTTCGACATTCATAGAACGTATGCGTATTGTCAAGAGACAGAAACAATTACTTTCTATTTATTTTTACATTCATATATATATATATCTTTTATTTGTAAAGAATTGTTGTGTTACACAAGGTTCGCAAGTGCATAGGTTCATCTTGAATGTGAAATTTTCTATTTTATATTTGTTTTATCATTGACATGTTTATGGTGATCACCTGATTTAGCACGTGCACATAGACTTCAGATTTTGTATACCATGTACATAAGGAACTATGATTACAGAGATGTTACACCAGGTTGTATTTAGTAAACGTTACACTATACTCTTATAGATCATGATACATTATTATTGTTAACACTCAACAAGACTACGTTCTGCATAGAGGCTCTTACTTGACACTATGCTACGGATTCACAAGAATCATGAGAATGAGAGTAAAATCATCGGACTACAACACATTTATTATATGGTACTAGAAGATGCCCGCGGTACAATTGGGCAAGTGTTGATCGAAACAAAGAGTGTGGACACAGTAATAAGGTGGACACAGTAAGGATTTGGACACGTTTAATGCATTTAATTCTATTTTTTTTAAACGATGAAAATGAGGAACATAATGCAAAAGACCCCATTCATCTCGGTGGGAAAATAAAGATATTAAATACCCAAGAAAAGTGTGGCAATGTGCGATTTTCAGTAGTTTTTTTTACCCCCTTTCACTCAATAACCGTATGAGCTACGTCAAATCCGTTGACATTACCGAAAAGGATCAAAAATGAGTAACACAATGAAAAAATCCCATCGAAATCGGATGAAAAATAATCTATAGTACTTCATCAGGAATCAACCCCTGACTTACTGAGCATGCGCGAAAGCGAATAAGACACGAATCGATAACGGTCTCCGAATTTGGATATTTTCTAAAAAAATTGGCGTTTTCTGTGAAAAAGATTGTTTCAAAGACAAATTTAGGAAGTACAAAACACTACATTTATACGTACGTCATTTCACAAATATTTCCGACTTTGTACGG